AAGCCTCACTCACAGAGCACCAAAAGTGCTCGAAGACAGGTGCGTCGAACCATGACAGGCGTCGGCAGCCTAGTCGTGAGAGACCCAGCTTGCAACTTCCTTGCCACTGTGGATGGGGGGAACGCTGCGTGGTACCACGGCTGCACCACTCAGCGGGAGGCCTGCGGACCTGCCCGTGGGAGAACCGCTGGGCTGTCGTGGGCCACGTGCGCCGTGCACCGTGGAAACGGTCGCTGGCGTCGTAGGCGTACGCGAGCAACAAGTCCATCCAGAGGAAGGGGGCGATGTCACAAGCGAAGCCGGGGGCCGGAGGGACGGGCCTGCCATGTGAAGGCTCGGTCCTGACAAAGGATGGACCACTTGTACAGGAATCCTGCCTCCCCAGGCCCACCCGCCGGAGCCAGCGGGTGGTCGCACCCCGCCGCTGGGATAGGTGTGACCACCTCGGAGCATGCACGTGAACGTTGCCACGACGGGGGGAAGCCGAGTGGCGTGGTACACCACATCAGTGTGCGTGGAGGAGGGGGGGGAGGCGCAGCCGATAGCCGCAAATCAGGTAAATAAAGGAGGTGGGGAGAGGGGCAAAGCCTGTGGGCCTGGTGGCGGCGGTGACCGCAAAGAACCCAACAGTGTGCGGTGCGCGTAACCCCTGGTGGGGTTACATCCCAGGCACAGTGGCGAGATGGGGCGAGGGCTCTGGTCTGCTCTCTGCTCACTGCTCTGAACAGATACGTTTGTTTGTTCTCTGTCCCCTTCTCTCTCTCTCTCATGGGTATATGTTGTTTCTCTCTTGTTTCCTCTCTTTCTCTCTCTTTGCTAGGCGAGTGGGAATCGGCCAATTGGCTACATGTCTTTTCGATTCGAGCACGACTGAAATCAAATCAGGATGTTAATATCCCAGAAGAAGCCATGTCTTAGCGCAGTGGGGTCTGCGCCAGGAACTGCGTCATCTTGCATCTGCTTTTGGATGGTGCCACCACCTGTCCCACGGCCTTCACGGAAATATTGTCTGAACCATCCAGGCGGACCTCCAGCACATACTGCAGTTTGAATGTGAAAGTCCGAAAGCTTGGTGGGGGCATCAATCAACAACTAAAGAAATAACATCAATACCACACGACTGCGAATCGCCGGAAAAGGCGGGGACGCCGCCGGGGATGAACGAAAGAAAGGAAGCGCAAGAACCGATGGTGTACCCAGTGCTAGCCCCAGTCGCGCCTTCCGAACACCACGTGCTTCCTGTTCAGGTGTGCAGCTGGACCTGGGCGCGCGGGTAGAGATGATATGGTCTCGAGCATCAGTAGCCCCAAGAAAGGTAGCACTCACTTGAGCGAAACGCAATCGAATTAGACGCTGTCTTGTCACGGCAATCATCAATTCGGCCATGCCGCGTGCACAAGAAACCCTGGCAAGAAATTCAGCACCTTGAGGCTTATTATTGTGAAGCGGCGCAGACAACGCCTCGACTACCAAACACGCCGCGATCATTCCATGTCCTTGGGAGGCGTGGGATCCGCCGGCCCCCTTGCGGGGCCACCAGGCTGCGAGGATGAGGATTGCAGCTCCCTGCATTTGCAATTTCCAATTTCCACTGTTACTATCCTGCGTTCTGCTTCCTTACTGTTAATTGATGCTGTACGCGCGAGGGGTGGGAGCCCCAAGCGGGATTCGTTTTACCACGCCCTGGGAGTGTTCTCAAAATTCCTGGGGGGGCGAGGGACACGTAATACTTGATAGTCGCGCCCCCGAAGTCCCCAGTAAATTCAACCATATTCGCGTCCACAAATATCGATCATCTGCTCATCTTATCCGTACAGGCTTCGCCCCCATGCCGCCGGCCCCCTGTCTTAGAATGGGACTTGCAAGAGCTGTGTTGGGATGCCTGGACGCCGACGTGAAGCAACATCGGGGCTTCACGCGAGGGCCACTATCTTACTGTACGGCTTGCACTGCAAACTTGAAAAACTGCGTTCGACTACTAACCTGCTGACGAGGGTTTGTGGCTTCGGGGACGCGAATATGGTATAATCTGCGAAGATTTATGGCCTCGAGGACGCAACTACTGCGAATTGTACTACGTTCTATGGTTTCGGGGACGCGAATATGGTGTAATGTATGAACGGTTTAGAGCCTCGAGAGCGCGAATGTCGTGTCTTCTACACGGGTTGATGGCCTTGGGGACGCGACTATCGCGGAATTTGCATAAGCTGATGGCGTCGGGGACGCAATCATTACGTAATTTACCAGGTTGTATGGCCTCCGGGACTCAACTATCGCGTACAGATCACCGTGGATTGTGGCGTCGGGGACGCTTGCCCCCCACAGGAACGCAGCACTCTGTGCATAACGAGTAGCCCGACGTGCTGCATCTCAAAAGGCCCACTGGAGCCCTCTCTGGGCAGACCGGTCGACTGCGACGAGCTCGCGACGGCTGGGCCAGACACGAAGGTGAATACTCCCACTGGCCGAAAGATTCCGCTCTTGAGCCCCAGATGTCGGAAGCGACGCGCCGTTCAGGCGAGCGGGTACACGTAGCGCTCGCTTCGGCTTAGGACGCGCCGTCTGTCATGGAAGAGAGTTGAAGAGGTGGCCGGGCCCGCTGTGCTGCTCGAGCTTCCGATTTGACGCTTTGCCTGCGTGTCCTCATGCTCCCAGTCCTCCCTCCTCCTTCCTCCTCCCACCTCCTCCCTCCTCCCGCCACCTCCTCCTTCCTCTTTCTTCCGCATCCCTCCTCCCTCCTCCTCCTCCTCCTCCCTTTTCTTCCTCCCTCCCCCCCTCTTCCTTGATTGTGCCTCCTCTCTCTTCCCTTCTCCCGTCCCTTCTCCCCTCCTCCCCCCTCCTCGTGCCTCCTCCCTCCTCCTTCCCCTCTCCGTTCTGGGAAGACCCCCCTTCCCCCGTAGAATCAAAGCTTCGGTCGGCAAATCCACAGCTCCGTGGATAGCATGATGTTTCACGTGCGGTGCCCCGCGGGTCACATTTCCCCTGAATCCAGGAGGTCAACTATTATCATACAGTTATGACAGGGAAATACATGGATCTATTGGTTTTCCACACACGGGAAGCTGGATCCGCGCAGTACAGAAATAGGATCCACGAAACTTTCGCACACCCGAACAGGGATTTAATTGGATCCACTGGTGTTCTCACATATCTAGTCCAAGAGGAAAGAACTTTCGGCCTGGGGATGTATTTGACCCGAGAGGGGGAGGAGGGGGGAGCGAGGGAGGATCTCCAGGGCACCTGTCAACAACCACCACCACATACTCGGGGCCACGCCGCCTATGGCCACCAGCTCAATGGGTGAGGAAGTGCCAGCGGCACGCTGAGACCAGAGCTGGCAACCTCTGTCCTAAGCCCTGGATCTGAGCACGGACCCTCCAGGACTGATCCAAGAGTGGCTTTACTCCATGCCTGTGCCCAGGATGGGCCCGACCAAGATTTTGGCATCAACAGGCAGACGCCGCCCTTCCGGTCCTGCGTGCTGGGCTTCGAGCAGCCGGACGAGCTGGCTTTCGTTTTCTGTGTCAGGGTGCTGCTAGGCCTCCTGGTGATAGCCTCAGGGCGCTGGCTTCGGGGGTTTGGCAGAGGACCGACGGCGAGGGGAAGGGGCAGGACGAGAAGGAGAGGGAGGCGGTGGATGGGGAGGAAGGCGGAGCAGGACGGGTGGAGAGGGGAGGGGATGATGAGCAGAGAGGGCAAGGGGTCAGAAAACAAACCAGAACGCGAACGGGACCATGAATCTTGCTGCGAGCTTGTCCGATTCTCTCCTCCTCCTCCTCCTCCTCCTCCTCCTCCTCCTCCTCCTCCTCCTCCTTTTTCCTTGACGCGACGCCAGGGCCAGGTGCACATGCTGCTCCTCTTCCTCCTTCTGCCTCCTCCCCTTCCTGCCCCATCCCCTTTCCCCCTCCTCGCTCATCCCACCTCGTCCTCCTCCTTCTCCTCCTACGCCTCCTTTGCTCTCTCACCGTTCTGCCCTCCTCCCTCCCACTCCTCATCCCTCTTACTCTTCTTCTGTCCTCCTCCCCCCTCCCTTCAAGGGCAAATCGACATGCACATCTAAATCAGCACTACATCGGAGTGAGAATATAACAGCACACTCCTCCCCGCTCCAACCCCCTTACCACCCAGGGGGTGATCTGTGAAGTGTATCTGCCGAGCGAATGACTCAAGTGGCAGAACCAACATGGGATCACGCGAATCAGCCTGATTCATGTAAAACATCTGTCGGAGCGGAGACATGTTGGCAAAGTGTGGTACGTAAGCTGGTGTCCCTGGACAACCGGGTTCCAGTAAGCAGTGCTGGAGAGCCACATCGGGCACTGGAACTTGCCTAGACCATTGGAATGCCACACCCATCGCTTAGACACAACGAGTCCAGTCCCCGCCAGACAAGAGACCCTCCTCCTTCAACTGTAGCTCCGCAGAATGTAATATTCTGCCCAAGCCCCCACGATAAGATATGAACAAAACGGTGACACGTTTCTGGCCAACAGCAGAAACCGCTGCATACCTCAAACGGAACGGTCAACGCTGCGACTTGTGTTGACCCTGGCAACGAGGGTCTCCTGGCCTGCGGCGATGCTGAAAGCCGCAAAACGATGCGCGTATCGTCCATATGTCGAAGGGGGGATGATGAAGGACCGCATTGGGGGATTATACGGCAAAGTACTTCGCCCCTCCACGGGCTCCTCGGGTCGGTCCGAACATGATCCCTGACGCAGACCCATGACCCAAGGTAGTCAGAACCCCCTCAAAGCCTCAGGGAATCACGGCAGCGTTGCGAGGAGATCCCCCCTGTCCAGAAGGAAAGGTAGGATGTGGTGGAGGACAGGGAGGTACAGTCAACGCGTGTGATCAAGATTCACGGTAAGGATGCAAGCCCCTTCGACGCCCAAGACACTATTTTTGTTAAGGGAACGCTTGTCTAAGGATGTGCCGAAGAGGCGAGGATGCAAAATTACCATTAAAAATGTCACGCTTTCTTACTATACGCGTTGCCTGAAGAATATGAGGCCGAACAAACAGATGCTTTTCAACAGAGCCGCACGCTGAAATCGCACCCCCATCCAGTCGAAGCGAGACACGTGCACGCGAGACACGTCTGTGCAACATCGAGGAGGGGACGAAAACTGTGATCCGCATTAGTGCGTTTGAGGGAAACGAAATGGCGGGGCACTGGGGACTGGCAGCAACGAGCAGGGGCGAATGTGCAGAAGGATTGCGACGAGTGGCTCTAGTGGAAAACGAGTGGGAGGCGCGTGCGTTGGCTCCACCCCACCAGTAAGCACAGCTTGCATTACACCGGTTGCGAGCAGTACCTGCAGAAAGCGAGCACTACAACAGTTGCACCAATTCGGGGCGTGGAGTCAGCGGGCGGCAGGGTCCGACCTGGGCACTGGCGCGTAGGAGTAGCCCCTGCGCTCACCTGCTGCACCTGGTACGCTAGCGCCCGTGGAGGAACTGGCGCCGACCCGCACGACATGGCCCGACCAAGCACAGGCGCGGCAAGAGAGGCCGACCGCCAGCAGTGTGCTGCAGATGGCGGCCAAGTGCTGCAAGCCAGGCACGGCGAGGTCGGCGGCGGGGCCCTCGATCGCATGTGTCTTGTCGAACTGCTGGGCCAACGACTCGTTCAAGATCGCAGCGGGGGACTGTCCTCGCCCTCCGGCGCCAGCTGCCGACAAGGCCTTCGCTGCCTCGGCGGCCCACTCAGGCGCTGGGACGTTCTCCTCCCCGGCGGAAAAGCAGCGAGTTTCTGCCGGGCTGCAGTGGGAGCACTCGGGGCACTCGTCGAGAACCTGCTGGAAGGCCAGGAGGCACGGCTGCGGCTGCTCGGCGAAGCTGTGCTCCGACAGCCAGAGCACGCGGGTCCGGCAGTTGCCCGAGGAGTCCTCGGGGCCGGCCGGACCGCAGGGCGCCTCGCAGCCGAGCGCCCTCGCTTCGGGCGCGTGCTCGCCGTGCGAGGCTGGGCAGGCCGCGAGCGCGACGAGCGCCGCGAGCAGCCCCGGCGCAGCAGCCCGGGGCGCCCGGCGCGCGGCCATCTCCACGGCGGCGGGGAGGGGCCCCGAGGCCTCGGCGCTTCACCGCGCGCGCCTTTAGCGCCGCGCGGCCATGGTCCCTGGGTGGCCGCGCCCGGGGCGGGCACAGCACCTCGGCGGAGGGGTGGGGGCGCTCGGGCCCACACCGCTGCGGGGGGCGTGCGCCCTGGTACGCGGAAGACGCGGCGACGCCCGCCCCTTCCGTGAGGCAAGATCGCCACCAGAGTCGCCACCGTGCCCTCGGCGCACTCGGGACTGTGTTGAATGCCTGCTGCGAGGCGTTGCTTCATGGGGTGGCGGTAAACGGGGGGGCTGCACCTTTCGCGCCTCTTTTGGGCCCCAGGGGGGCCCTTTAGGGCACAACAGGTGCACTTTGCTTCACCCCCCCCCACCCATCGCCTCACCATTACGCAACGTTCGCTGATCTACGCCCCAAGCACCGCTCCAAACGATCCCGACGCAGGAAGACCGAAGGTGGCCCATTGAACATCATGGCGAGTCCATCCTGGCAAACGCGCGGCGAGATCGAGCTGAACCACGAGACGCGTGCCAAAGTCTCCTCGCAATGATTGCGCACTGGGCTTGTGCAAGGCGCCCGAGAATCCGCCGCCGTGGCCCCCATGGCCCGCCGAGGCGGGGCAGAATGCCAAACGCTGTCTGGCAGAGTTCCCGTGATCTTCACAGGGGCTTCCCCCCTATCGTCACACGCGTCGTTCATCTTCCCCCCCAATCGCCCAGGATAGAACAACTAGAAGTGAAAGGAGCTTGGCCCCGCAAGGATCAAGGAACTTTCGAGGCCTTAGATCTGAACAGTGGGTGCGCAGGAGCGACCCTGGGCAACTGTGACCTCTGGTGCGCGGCTTTTCTGGGGGCCGCGGGTGGACCGAACCTGGGCGCGCAAGCAGCCGCTGCTGCTTCGTTTCCTTGCCATCTGGGGGCCCATCTGTCAGGGGCTTACAGGCGAACCCTACCCCTGCCCCCCACGCGTTGAGAGGGAGAGGGTGGGGTTCACTTCGTTCGGGAGCTCCCGAGCGAAGTGAACCCCACCCTCCCCCTCAGAAATCTTGGAGGGCAGGGGTAGGGTTCGCATGTGTGGCCCCCATACCTGTGCCCGCACCAAAGGTCACTCCTGCGAAAGGTCACCCTTACGTCCCGTCGACCCCTTATGCCGGCAGACAAGCGCGAGCATCGCACCCGGTCCCGAGGCCACGATCTCTCACAAAAGCCATGTCAGCCGGCGTGGATCCAAAGAGTGATGTCTCACCACATACGCGCTGCAGCCCAGGTGGTGCAGTCCATGTGGTACATCTCGGTAGTGCAATCCATGTGGTGCAATCGATGTGGCGCAAAGCAGTGCAAACCAATGCAAAGCGACGCAAAACAATGAACAACAATACAAAGAAAAACTGTGCAAAGCGATGCAGGCAGCGCAGCGTAATGCAACGCAACGCAATGCAAAGCAATGCAAAGCACTGCGCTGCAACGCAGAACAACGCAATGCAAAGCAACGCCATGCAAAAACAATGCAAACACAATGCAAACACAATGCAATGCAGAACAATGCAAAAAGTGATGCAAAAGCAATGAAGCGCAACGCGTGGCAACGCGCAGTGCAAACAAAAAAACAAAGCAGCGGAGCGCAACGCGATCGCCACGCCACGCCGTGCGACTGCCATGCCACGCGACGGCAATGCAACGGGGGGGGGGGCACGGGGGCAGCGACGGGGACACAGAAAAAGGGCCGCCAGGCCCGCGTACGGGCCTGGTTCCTTGGGCGCATGTGAAGGGGCCCTAGGGCACACAAGTAAGTACGCACAAATAAAAGGATTCCCACTATTTTCCCATCTTGTCTGGGTTTTCGTCCCCCCCCCACTTCCCATATTGTCCCCATATTTTCTGGGGGATCGACGATTACTTGCGTCTGTGTGTTTTTTGTCCCCCCTGAGGCATGGTGCGGCGACGGACGGGAGCGGGGACCGCGGGGGCCGCGCCCGGGCCCAGATTCCTCAGAAGGACGAACCAAAACCTCTAAAATGCAAAACAACGGCCTTGGGCAAAGATAGAAGCAGTGGCCCAGATTGTAAGTCCTGGGGGGTCTGCAGCTTCCCGCGAACAAGGGGTCCCTGTTGTCCGCGCGAGGCAGTTTGAAGGCAGATGTCAAATCAAGTTGCGCGGCGCGCTTGCCTCGGCTAGCAATTTGCCGCGACGCCAGGAGCTGCTCTGACGGCACTTCCCGCGCCGCCCTGGGCCGCCCAGGGACGCACACACACACACACACACATAAGTAGACACAGACCCCAGGATTCCCAGACTGTTCGTGCACTTGCTGGGTGGTCGTCTCCCCCCCCCGCTTCGCATTTCTTCTAAGATTTTCCTGGGAGTCGACGGTGAATTGTCTCTGTGTGTTTTTTCCCCTCCTGAGATCTGAGCCCGCGCTCACAATGCATCCGTGCTCTCCTGAGCTTCCAAAACCGGCCGAGGCAGGCAACCGATCCCGCCAAGATGTCCCAGATGTCCCCAGGACGGCTCAAGAGAACACCAAGGCGGCCGAAGATGGCCTCAAGACGGCCAACGATGCCTCCAATATGGCCCAAGAGGGCCTCTAGTGGACTCCCAGTAGGTCCCGGCGAGGCCAAAATCATGGATTGTTGCTGAAGTGTGTTAGCAGACTATTCCTATTCTCGCCTTTTCGAGCTTCCGTCAACTCAAAACAACGCACGAAGCTTCCGAGATGGCCCTCAAACAACCCAAGCGGCCTCAAGGTGGCCCAAGAAGACCCCAGGATGTCCCAATATGCCTCCAAGACGACCCCAAGACGCCCTCGGGAGAGACCCCAGACGGCCTTCAAGGCCATTCGGAGGCCCAACACCCAAGACGGCGCCAAGACGGCCCCCCGACAGCCCGAAGACCCCCCCATATAGACAGAAGGGCCCACGAGAGCCGCAAGACGGCCCAAGAGGGCCCCGAGACGGCCCAAGAGGGCCCCGAGACGGCCGCAAGGCGGCCCCAAGGGAGCCCCCCCAAGACTGCCCCACAGGAGCCCAAGACATCCCCAAGACAACCCAAGTGAGCTCCATGAGAGCTCCTCAAGAAATGAAGGCGAAAAATAGCACATGTTGCGGCCTCCCGCTTCCTCCTACTCCCCATCATCCTCATCACGGCCCTTCCAAACTTTGGGGCACGAGGTGTCGCGGGTGACGGCCTCCCGTGCCCTCTGGAACAGGTCGCCACCTAGCATCCCGAGCTGGCACAGGTGGCGAGACTTGCCGCGGGAAGCTGAAAGAGAATTGCTAACGTGCGATCGTGTCGGTCCCGTTTCTCTGACCTCATGACGGCCCAAGAGGGGGCCAAGAGGGGGAAGGCGAAGGGGCCTTAGGGGTCGTTATCCCCCCGGTTGGCCCCAGAGACCCTGAACGTGCCTCCAAAGATTCCCCAGACTCGCCAATGGCCCCGAAGACGGCCCCAGAGAGTCCCTAAACGCCGCCAAGAGGCGCCAAATCTCCACAAAGCGGCTTCCAAGAGGCCACCCGAGAGGCACCCCAAGAGACCCCGAGAGGCATCAATACGACTTTGACCTGCGAGCCTAGCACGGTGATGGGATGGGCCGAAGGTCACTAGTTAGTGTCGCATCTCAGCACTATAGCGTAGTACTGCATAGTGCTAGACATCATAGGGTAACAGCGCATAGTACTGCCAGGCATATCGCAGCATGCACCAGCACGGCAAATCATCCTACCTCTGCATCAATATGAACTGTGGTGGGGCATGCGTCGCGGAACACTGTTGTCTGGGAACAATATGTTTCCAAACTGCTTGCGCTGAATTCGAACCTGGATTCAGCCGGCAAGTTCGGTATGTCAGGAAACAGGTTGCTCATCTTCTCATTGCCTCGATGGTGCCCCCCCCCTGTTTCTCGGCTCGAGGCTATCGGTAGGCCAGGGCACATTCCCATGTGGCAGAACATTCGACCAATCTCCTTCGGGGGGTACTGCATCCACAGCCGTGAACCAGCTCTTTCAGCACCCACGGAGCTGGCAAGCAACAGATGGCGTGCCTGAAATCGAAGGCGCGCACGGCGAGGCCTTCGAGACTTTCCGAAATACTGACTGCCTTGGACGTGTACGTTTGATGCGATGATTTTCGGTCTGCGCGATGACAGCACGCCAGCAATTTCACCAAGGCTCTTCCATCGAGCGTTCCCATTCGCAGTGCCACCGCTGCTGCGGGCTCTCAGTGGAGGGTTCTCGTCGCGTCCCACGACCGAGAAGAGCCACAATCACGCTGCTTCGCAGATCGTGCCGCGACGGCGCAGAACATGGGGAATCCAAAAGGTACCGATACCGCTCCTCCCCGGGCCTCTCCCGGGGTGGGCTCTGACCAGAATTTCGAAGCGAATCCAGCGGTGGCGACGAAAGCCTCCCAGGAGGCCCAAAAAGGGGAAAACGCGTAGAGGGTAGCCTTAGGTCGGGCATGTCCTCCTACAGGCGCATTGGGGAAGAAAAATGAAACATTGTCAAAAACATTACAGAAATATGTGAGCATACTAGAAAATCGTCCCCTGACTATTGTTTTGCTATTTGTGAACTTGCCTCCTGTAGAGTTACAAAAGCCATGTCGATGGAGAGGCTATCAAACCATACTTATTTTCTTTCGGCAGTCGAAGAGCACGAAAACATCAGGAACATAGAACGGATATCCGAGCGGAAACCACGCGCACCGAGTGAAGCTACTCCACGCGCTTGGGTGCTGCTCCCAGCGACTGTGGGCTCTTCCAAGGAACAACGCTTTCCCGGGGGAACCGGGCGAAACACTTCGCGCGAATGGGCAGGGCCGCCGTGGGCGCGGCGGCCCAGGGGCCGGGCCGCCGCGCGCGCGGCGGCCCTGGCGCGTCCCGCGTGGGAAAACATGATGCGCGAAAGGGCAGGGCCGCCGCGCGCGCGCGGCCCTGGCGCGTTCCGCGTGGGAAAACACGATGAGCGAGAGAACAGGGCTGCCGCGCGCGCGGCGGCCCTGGCGCGCCCCGCGTGGGCAAACACTATGCGCGAAGAGGCGGTGGCGCGTTCCGCGTGGGAAAAGGGCAGGGCCGCCGAGCGCGGGGCGGCCCTGGTGCGTTTTGTTTGAAAAACAATGTGCGCGAAGCGGCAGGGCAGCCGCGCGCGCGGCGGCCCTGGCGCGGCTTGCCTCGGAAAACACGATGCGCGAAGGGATATGCCGCCGCGCGCGCGGCGGCCCCGGCGCGGTCTTCGAGGGAAAACACTCTGCGCGAAGGGGCAAGGCCGCCGCGCGCGCGCGGCGGCCCTGGCGCATTCTGCGTCGGACAACAATATGCGCGAAAGGGCAAGGCCGCCGCGCGCGCGGGCGGCCCTGGCGCGTCCCGCGTGGGAAAACACTATGCGCGAAGGGGCAGAGCCGCCGCGCGCGCGTGGCGGCCATGGTGTGCTCCACACTCTGCGACTCTGCGCGAAGGGGCAAGGCCGCCGCGCGCGCGGCGGCCCTGGTGTGTCCCGCGTGGGGGAACACTATGTGCGAAGTGGCAGGACCGCCGCGCGCGCGGGCGGCCCTGGCGCGTTCCGCGTGTGTAACACGATGCGCGCAGGGGCGGGGCCGCCGCGCGCGCGCGGCGGCCCTGGCGCGTTTCGCGCGGGAGAACACGATGCGCAAAGGGGCCGGGCCGCCGGGCGTGCGGCTGCCCTGGCGCGCAACGCGTTGCGCGAAGGGGCACGCACGCGCGGCGGCCCTGGCGCGTTCCGCGTGGGAAAACACTTTGCCGGAAGGGGCAAGGCCGCCGCGCGCGGCGGACCTGGTGTGTTCCGCGTGGGAAAATACGATGCGCGAAAGGGCAGGGCCGCTGCGCGCGCGGCGTCCCTGGCGCGTTCCGCGTGGGAATACACGTTGCGCGAAGTGGCAGGGCCGCCGCGCGCGCGTTCCGCGTTGGAATGTCATGATCGAAAGGGCCGGGCCGCCGCGCGCGGCGGCCCTGGCGCGTTCCGCGCGGGACAGCACAATGCGCGAAGCGGCGGGGCCGCCGCGCGGCGGCCCTGGCGCGTTCCGCGTGGGAAACCACTGTGCGCGAAGGGGCCGGGCCACCGCGCGCGCGGCGGCCCCGGCGGGGTCCGCGCAGGAAGACTATGCGCGAAGGGGCAGGGCCGCCGCGCGCGGCGGCCCTGGCGCGTCCCGCAAAGGAAAACCTTATGCGCGAAGGGGGAGCGCCGCCGCGCGCGCGGCGGACCTGGCGCGTTCCGCATGGGGAAAACACTCTGCGCGAAAGGGCAGGCGCGTTCCGCGCGGGGAAACACAATGCGCGAAGGGGCAAGGCCGCCGCGCGCGCGGCGGCCCTGGTGTGTCCCGCGTGGGGAAACACTATGTGCGAAGGGGCAAAGCCGCCGCGCGCGGCGCGGCCCTGGCGCTTTCCGTTTAGGAAAACACTATGCGCGAAGGGGCGGGCCGCCGCGCGCGCGCGGCGGCCCTGGTGTGTTCCGCGTGGAAGAACACAATGCGCGAAGCGGCAGGGCCGCCGCGCGCGCGGCGACCCCCTGGCGCGTCCCGCGTGGGAGACACACTCCGCGAAAGGGCCGGGCCGCCGTGCGCGCGGCGGCCCTGGCGCGTTCCGCCTGGGAAAACACGACGCGCGAAGGGGCGTGTTCCGCGCGGGAAAACATTCTCGAAGGGGCAGGGCCGCGCGCGCGGCGGCCCTGGTGCAATCTGCTTGGAGCAACACTACGCGCGAATGGGGCAGGGCCGCCGCGCGCGCGGTGGCCCTCACTTGCGTGCCCCGCGTGGGGAAACTTTATGCGCGAAGGGGCAAGCCGCCGCGCGCGCGGCGGCCCTGGCGCGCTTCGTTTGGGAAAACACGATGCGCGAAGGGGCAGCGCTTCACTCTGTATTCCCAAGGCAAATGAAAACTTTCTAGAGAAAGACCGAAACTCTGATCAAACTCTGTTTAAATTCTAAATATGATCTGAATGGAAACTCTAAAAAATCAATGCTAAAACTCTGAGGCTCAAAATAAACTCGGAATGGGAACTCTAAAAAACTGTAATAACACTTTGTTGAAAATCTGGTTGCAGCCTGGCCCCGCGTGCGACCTCTGATGTGGGTCGTATAAGGTCTTCGGCTCCGGGGTGATTTCGGTCTGGCCTCGTCGCGCCCAGCCAACTTGACCTGCGTCGGCCTAACGCGCTGCTGCATCGGCACAGAACGCGTCAACGAAACGCGGAACAGGAGAGGCCACGCGGCAGATCACGCCGGGCATCGCTTGCGTTTTCGATATCCGTTTGCGGCCAACATCTGCGCGCTAGCGCCGTAACCCCCCTCGCCTCGCCACGCCGTCAAGTTGCGCGCGCGGCGATATGCGCAGCGAGCTAAGGCCAGCGAGCCCCACCCACCCCCTCCCCCCGCGCGCTCCACCTGAAAACCTGCCCCTGCCCTCGGCAGCTTGCCCACAGCCCGCGCTGGGCGGCCTTCTCTCCGCGCGGGGGCGCGCGGCGAGGCGATCGCCCCACCCCCCGGCGCCCTGCCAAGGCAGGCCCGAACCGGCGCGAGCGAGGGCGCAACCAGAGGGGCGCGACGAACTGTCGGCCCGCTCCGACAGGCTGGGGGGGGAAGGGGGGGCCGGCGCGCCGATCGCCCCCCCCTGGGCAGGCGGTTCCGAGGCGTCCTGCAGTCAGCGGTTGCCGGGAGATTCCTCGGCAAGTGCGCGACAATGCCCGGGGCGTCTGGGGAAAGTGCAATAAACGCGGGTCCACTGCGGGGCGCGCGCGGGCCGCGCGCCCAGCTTCGAGCGCGGGGCGCCTCGCATTGCAAGCCTTGTCTCGCGCGTTGGGCGGGGAGGGGCCGGACGGCGAGTTGCCGCTGCGGGCGATCGCGCGCGCGGCCCCGTTCATTGCCCGCGACGGGCCGTGCCCCCCAAGCTCGACCAGGCGCGCCCGAAGACGCGCGGCGCCGCGCGGGGTCGCGCACACACTGGCGCAGAAGGGGCCAAAGCGGTGGCACGCACTGGCACGCGGGCGGGCGGCGCATTCACGATGGCCCTGCCGACGCCCCGCACCAAAACGCGCCAGCGCGCGGCTGGTAGGCGCGCGCGCGGGGGCGCAATTCCTTGTGCGTGTGAGTGTGTGTCTGTTTGGGGAGGGGGGCACGTTTCCCGGCGCGGCCATGCGGGCCCGCGTTTTGCGTTTAGGGGGAGCGCCGTTCAAATATCACGGAGCGCGCTCGCCTGCTTCCCCTGCCCGGGCCCCCCCGACGCCTGCCCCCGTCTCAAAAACAAACTTGCCCCGCGCAGAAACGGCAAGTCCGCCCGCGCGCCTGGCGCTGCATGCGGCGCGCAACCGCGCGAGGTAGGATCCAACGCAGGCCCTGTCCGCCGAACAGCAAAAAGGCCACTGCATCTTATGGGAAATATTGCTTCTCGACAAACTACACCCGCCACCCCCCCGCCCAACCAAGGCCGACCCATCTAGGCAACACGATGCGTGCTGAAGCGAACGGGCACGCTTGGACTGAGTTCCCCAGCAGCAACGCTGGCACAGGGATGGCCGCCCAGTGCGAGCGGGCTCGCTCTTGGCGATTTTGTCGGCACTGGTTCTGGCCAAGCGAAGTGCGCCACAAGCAAGCCGGCACGTTCGGAAATCGTTTCCTGCCGACAATCTCGGCGGCGACATGCGCGGCGCCCGCGATCCGGCGCGCTTGGAACGCGGGCCCTGGCGGCAACGCTGGCAAGGCAGCGCGGACTGGAAACAAACCGGCACGCTCGCGAAACACATGGGGGGAGGCACATGGAAAACGCGAGAGAGGCACGGTCAGAGGGCACCCGTGGCGAGGGCGCCGTTGAACAACAGGACATGGAAACTCACGTTGGAAAACTTAGTTGAGAAACCGCGCTGGCGCAGCAATGCGCGCCAGAAGCGGCGCTATGTTCTCGGATTCAAACTCAGAACCTTCTGCTCCATAAGGCCCCCCAGAATTTCCAAGAGGCCCTCGAGAAACCCCCCCAGAGGCCCAGAAGAGGCCCCAATGAGCCCCGCGCGGGTCGACGGCATCGGACGTCGACTGCGCCTGGCGGGAGCGCGTGCACCTCTGTTCGCGACCGCGGTGGCTGGCCGTACTGCCCATCTCAGGGATCGCTCGGGCGCTGCCATCGCTGCGCATCGCCGGCGGCTGGATTATCGCAGTGGCGATCGCGACTTGCTCGACCCAGACGTCATCTTGGCGGCGTTTAGTGACGCAGGCTGCCACGCGTCAGCTCCTGCCTGGGCCGTGCACGGATGCCGCGCGCCAACCGCCCCCAGCGATTGGGCGGCCCAACCGTCGGCACCCCCCATGGCATTGCTGGCGCTTGGGAGGGGGG